GGGTTTAATATTTTTCCTAGAACTTTTTTTTTTTTTTTTTTTTTTTTTTTTAAAAATTCTACAACAGAAAAAAAAAAAAAAAAAAAAAAAAAAAAAAAGAAAAAAGCCTTTTTTCCTCTTCACAAAAAGCTGGAAGAGCTGGAAGCACTGCTTTAGGGAAACCAGCTGCTGCCAGTTATCAAAAAAGCAGACTGACGTTCTAGAACTTCAAGCTTTAGCTTCCTCACAATAACAGACCTCCAGAGACTGACAATGTGAACCAGTGATGGTATCTACAGCAGAGAGCCTAAAATTTAATTTATGTTTGATACACAAAATAGAGTGAATGTATAAATTATGGTTCAGTGTTATTTCATGGAGTAATTTATGAAGCAATCCTTCAGCTTACTGGTGTTTTTAAGTTTCATCTAGCATATGTTATTACCTGCATTTTCTATCAGCCCATAGGTCTTAGTTTAAAAATCCCTAAAGTGAGAAAGACAAAAGAACTGGCCTGATTAAGTGCCATCAAAGCTGTAACATACCAGACTGCATTTTCTCAGCTTTACTGGTCAATAAACAAAAGAAGGAATAGCAAGGTAGTTTAGATTGCATTGTTAACTTTTACAGTACCTAGTCAGAAAAACATTTTGTTTCAATTATTGCAGTTCCAATTTCTGCAACTCGCACCACAAACTTTGAGGGTAAGAAGAGTTACAAAACACTAGCCCAGTTCAACAGTACAACTGCTTGTCACTTCCCTGGTAAGAATCAAAGACTTGTAACATGCCAGTTCATATTTTCCTTTTTGTAACCTACGATTATTAAATAATAATAATAATTACTGAACTTGAACTATTTCCTGGGGGAAAGTAGCCTCTCACTCCTCCACCCCTCATACAAAAACACTTGCCATACCTACTATGAAAACTCCTGCATAATTTGATTAGATCAAATTTTCCAAACCACCATTGTTTAAGGAAAAAAATTATCACCAGTCATAACCCTCATTTCCTTTGGCATCAGATGTGAATACAGTGCTCACCAGTAAGTTTATCCACCTCATTATTAAGAGCACTGTTTATTACGAGAAAATATGCTGCAGTTTCACAATCTACAATGTGAATATGGAAACACAACATTGCCTTTGAAGCATACTTCTCTGAACCTTTTAGATACACATTTCCTCTCCAAAGAACTGTATTGAATGTCTTTCTATTTAAGAGATTAGGTTGATTTCTGCACTCTTCTCAACAGTAGCAATATATCAGTCCCTAAGCTGTCCCTGTTTGCCCCTATCCCGATTAAAATTCATTCTCAGCACAGCATTTGCACCTAAATAAGTCACTAGGTGCTTTTTTCTTTCCTGAGCTGCCAGAGCTAGAATGAAGGAAGCATTGCTCAGTTGCGCTTGGGAAACCTACTAGAAAAGACAGAAGAAAAAATAAATACATAAAATTAAACATTGCACATCCACATCTAGGCAACTGGAAAACTGGAAGCCTAAGCACTACCCAGACCCGTTTTGCACCACCTATTTAAAACCACCGTCAGGGCCCCGGCCGAGTGAGGGGTCGCGGTTCGCAGGGTCGTCTCCCATCCGACATCCACCCCGGGCAGCCCCGCAGCTCTATCAGGCGCGGGGACAGCGAGCCCGGGGCTGCTCGCCCCAGATAAACCCAGGGGCCCGAGCGAGGCGCTGGGCGCTGAAAGGCAGCGAGGCCTCCCGAAACCCCCCCTCCCCGCCCTCAGGGCCGGAGCCCCCCGGCGGCAGGGCACGCCCGCCGCTGATCCCCGCCGTCTCTCCCCAGCGCCGCCCCCGCCTCCCGCCAGCGACGCCGGGAGGGCGGCCTCGGCCTCGGGACCCCTCCCCGGCCCCGGCGTCTCACCGGGCCCGTAGAACTTGCTGCCTTTGGTCACGTCGAAGACTTTGCCGTTGACAGCCAGGAGGATGCGGGGGTTGCGGGTCCCATCGAACTCGCGCAGCTGCTCCAGGGAGAAACCCCGCCGCTTCATCCGCGGCAGAGCGGCGGCCTGGCTCTGCCGGGCCGCGCCCCCCGGCCCGCTCCGCGTCCCCCAGCGCAGGTACAGCCGGTAGGCGGCCAGCAGCCCCACGACCAGCAGACCCACGACCAGCAGCATCCCGCCGCCCAACAGCGACTCCCCCGCGCCCCCGCCCCCTCGCCCGCCGCCGTTCCCCTCAGTCCTCAGCCTCCCGTCCCCATCGTCCGCCATCACTGCCAGGCCGACGCCTGCCCGCCCAACGGCTCCGCCCAGCTCGCGCCCAGGGCCCCCAACGCCGCGCCCCGCCCCTCGCCCGCTTCCCATTGGCCGGCGGGCGAAGCGGCACCGCCCCCGGCGAATGGGGTGCGGCCACGCCCCGCCAGCCCAACGGGCACCGCTGCTCGCGAGACGCGTCGCCGCCCTCAGCGCGCGTGCGCGGCGTTCCCCCCTCTCCCCCCTGTCCCCTCAGCGCGCGTGCAGGTGGCGTTGGCGGGAGCGTGAGGGGAGAGAAGGGGCGGGGGAAGTGCCTCAGCCGCCGCCTGAGGAGAGGGAGCGGGCACCGCCGTACCGCCGCGGCGAACAGAGGAGGCGGTGTGGTGGCGTAGAGGGCTGGCAGCCTCCTTGGGGTGTTAAAACCCGTTATCCCGCCGCGGGAGAAAGGGGTCGAAGGCCGGCGGTTGGGGCAGCCCCCGTCGTGCGGTCGAGCGGCGCGTCTGGCCGGGGCTGTGGGGCGGAAGGTGGTTTTACTGACCGCCTGAGCGAAGGCAGGCGCGCCCCTGAGGTGACACAGCGGCCAGTCTGGGAGGGAAACCTTTGGAGGTGGCTCAAAGGACTGCTTGGTGTGCTTAGGGTAAATACACCCTTCCGTTTTTTCCCGTCAGAGAAAGCGATGTTTACTAACAGTAGGCTGACCCGCTAGAATTACTCCTTGCACTGTGAAATGTAGCAAGTGGCAGCCCATTGATGGCTTTAGTATCTCATGTTAAGTACAACCCATGCCCAGGAGCGAGTTTGCTCAGTTATGTGAGGAGAAAAACCTTTTATTTTCAAGAAGAGAGTGGATGCATCTCAGTAGGGTGACACATCTGCAGAGAAGACAAAAGACCTGGGCTGAATTTAGCCCTTCTGTTCTGTGAACGTGTTCCCAAGCAAAACTGACTTGTCTCATCAGATGGTACTGAAGGGCCACTCACAAATGCGTAACTGGGTCTAGGAATGTAAACCTGGCTCAGCAGCCCTCTCTGGAGTTGGAATGTGATACAAGAAGTACTTTGGACTTGGGAAACATTGTTATTCCACGTAACTGTGTGGTGCTGAAGCATCCCTGCCTGATAACATCAGTGTTAAGAGTAATTCACAATTACGTAACTCAGTCACAAAAGTGGGAAAACTCAACTGTTTTTCACAAAGGCTGGTAGACAGTACAAGAGACTCAACCCAGTGGAAAATAGCATTAATGATAGCATTTACATAAAGCTCTGGATTTTCAACACCCTGTGTAATGCTTAGGTGTTTAATCTTCTGCCCTCTGAGCCAGTTTGGTAATGACTACCTCTATGAGGAAACACGATTAAATTCTTGCCAGTTAAAGACCTGCAATTAAAATACTACTACTATTCCTCTTAATCAAGCAGGCACTATTTAACATATGTATATGTAAACTCTATTAAGAAAGTCCTTTTATCTCAACAAGTCACAGCTTGATTGTGGTTAACAGTTTTTATCACAGAATCATAATATGTTTGGATCGTCTGGGCACAGCTATGGTACGGGTCAGAAAAAAGGCAAAGTTGCACTTTTACCTCCGGACTTCCTTCCCTTGAGAGTTCAGTTGAGGTTTTCCACAACCTCAGCTTTCCATTTTACTACATTCTCTTAATTTCCTTTGTATTTTAAAGTTAGGTTCAGGAAACAAAAACAAGTAGTAAGGGTTGTGATGTACTTTTACTCAACTGCCTACCGAGATCTTATCTCTAACTTAATACAGACTGACAAGATTATTCCAGACATTTTTTTGAAAACACGTGGTTTCCCACTGCGCAAATGTGGTGTTCTGCTACATTCTGGAAGGAATTCTTTCAGAAATCAGCATGCTGCTGTAAGCATTCTAGCCTTCATTTGTCTGGCTGCCCACTTAAGAGATGATATTGCTACCTGGCCTTGGCTAGAATACCTCAATTTATTTCTGTCAGCAGAAATATTTATTTCTTGGATCTAGCGCAACAAAATGGTGGCTATTTTTGATCCCCAGATAAGAGGTGAAAACCAAGAGGAGTTCCAGGAACTTGCCGTAAGGAAATAAAAGTTTAGAAGACTTCTACTTGAAAGAATGTAAACACTAGAAAACTGACAAACACATTAGAAATAATATAATGCAAATAGTAAATAATACTAAGTGTACTTGGATTAGAACATTTCCAAACCTAGCAGAAAGAAACCACTGAAAATGCGAGGTTCTGAACTGGAGAAACACTGTCTGGTTGCCCCCTTGTTAGTGTGCACCTCAGATAAGTCCAGATACGCGGTGCCAAGGAAGTTAAGATCCCAGTGTAGCTGCATCCACCTTCAGTACCGGAACACCATGGTTAAAAAACAGATACTCAAGATCTGCTAGCTCAAATATAACAAGCAAATATCTTTCTGTCTTGAGGCAGACTAGGTGCAACTTCAGTCAAATTTTGTTACCCTCCTGTTAGCTTTACCTGCCAGAGAAATGCCAGAAAAAAACCCTAGTTTCTCCACTATAACTTTTTCAAGTGTTTCTTCCTTGCCTGTCTTTGGTTTGCCAAGGCAAAAAGCCTGTCCCCGTAAAGTAAAAAAGTCTATGTTCTATAAAGCTACAACTGCTAAAGGGTCCCCCAAAAACCTCTTAGCATTACTGTGTCGCTTCCACTATTCTTTCTGTGCGCTTCTTGGTGGTTCTTTTGGTGTGAACAAATCTTATTTTGATCTAATTGACTGTCACTAGATCTTGAACCATGACTGTGGAGCCCAGGTATTGCTAATGAATATAATTGTGAGTGTCAGTGGAGTAATTACAGCAATATGATGAGAGGAGAGAAAGGAAAATCAGATCATCTGGGTTACCCATGAAAAAAATCTCAGAATTTTCCAAATTCTGAAATTAATACAAAGCTAATTCATTCGTACAGATTTGATCTGAAGAGGAAACAAAGTGGTAATACTTGCCTATCAAAGTTTCCTATAAAGAGCTTAGTAAGCCCCCAAAAAACATATATGAAAGAATATTACCAAGTTTCTAATTAGTTATGTTGTAGCTTTTGTTGTCCTTAAGTAGTTATTTAATTTTATTTTTACCTATCAAAATGTGAAGAATACTTAGAAAATGAATAATTTATCACTATATTCAATTGCAATCTCATTTACTTTTACTTGTTTATCCTTTAGTTCTTTGAGGTTAATAGCCATTAACTTTCATAGCAGTCTCTCTGCCAGGTCTGACATGATTTGTACTAGCAACAAGGAACAAACAGTAGTGTCTTTTGAAGCTATTTGCTCACTTTTGTTGGATGTTCAATATTTATCTGCATCAGTATACATTTTCTTCAGACCAGAGACTTCTGTGTCAGATATACTATGACTGACTATTGCAACTTTGTCCTAAGAATTTCAAAAAGTAGGTCAGTTGCCACCAACTTTGTTTGCTCCACATATGAAATAATTCTCTAACATATATTTTTTTAAGAGAGAAGCAGGTAGGATGCTTCTGCATGACTTTTCCATTAGGAGATGAATGGCCTCAACTCAGTTATGTTCTTCACTTTTTCTTTTCAAACATTGCTTTTTACAGTCTCTGGAAAGAAGACTGAACTCAGTGAAAAGCACAATGAGAGCACAACTTTACAAACAGAAATTGAACTCTAATACAAGCCACTATCATGGCTGAAGTTTATTTTCCATTGATTTTGAAGCTGAAGAAACATCTCTTATCATACAAAGACAGGCCATGTTCAGGACAGGTTAGGAGGTGAACTGTGTGTGAAGGAATGTAGGGATGTCTCAGTAAATTTGGAATAACAACAATCAATCAGCTTCATTGATTTTGGATATTTTTAAACCTAGCTTAATGTAGGGGATGCACTGATAATTTTGTTTTAAGCTGATACAGCTGGTAAATGCTTACTGTTGAGGTCAATGCAATGTTTGATGTCTTATTTCAAAATAGTATCTGCTTACATTCCCTAACACGTCTTTTTTTTCATATTTATTTTAAGTGCTTCATGTAGACCTATCTAAATTTTTCTAATATAATGTCACAGGGTCTTTTAATGAAGGGATGCTGAATTCATACAAATTATTCAGAAATTTCTTTTAAAAATTTGAAAGTATAGTATGAATAATATAGTGAAATTCATATCATCCCATTGTGCTGGTTTTGACTAGGACAGAGATAATGCTCTTCATAGTTGCTGGTATGGGGCTCAATTTTTCATTGGTAAAAAGTCTGCTGTTATTTCTCAGTCTTTGTAAATGATGTGGTGTCTGAAGTGCCTGGTCACAGTATTGCAGAAATAGATTAAGTTGATCTCTAACATTGTTCATCTGTTATGAAGTTACTCTGTCTGATGCTGCACTTCACAGAAAAGTCTCTATAGTCCAGACTGGAACCAGCAGAAACCTGTGAGCACCAGTCACAGATGACCAGATGAGCAATTAGTGGTGCCTTATTACAGAGCTAGGGGCAGGTTTGCTGCAACTGGAGCTCAGCTTGGTGTGAGAGCTGAGAGCAGCTTTCCTTCAGAGACGAAAGCTCAGGTTACTCTGCCTCTCAGCTCTTGCTCCCACAGCGGCTCTGGCATTTATTATTCCAAATCTGGTCAAGTAAATGACTGACTTGTATACAGAGACACATTTTCAAAAAACCTGTACCAATGCTTTGGCGAAGGCAGGTTTTTAACAAAACAACTTATTTGGGATATTTGCAACCATATGTATGCAGCTGTGTTTTCAAATGGTAACTTCAGAACTGTAATAATCAGGCTGCAGTGAAACAGCAGAGAAAGTACCCAGGCAGGCCTTTGGGCACAGCCATGTCTAGGAAAGGAGGTACATTCTTGCTTTAGCACTGGGAGTGTATGGCACTATAGATAATGAAATAGTGTATGTAAACGCAGAATTAAAGTCAGAAAATAATTTGAACTCCTTAATGCAACTGCAGATAGTTTCAGTATTTCTTCCAACTCAGTTCTCAGCCACACAGGTATGACCTTTTGCATAGTGGGCAAAATTGCACTGTGTGTATCTTACTATACCTCTGGCAAAC